AAAAGAACACCTTTGCTTTCTTGCATTCCATTGAATTGAGGAGAGCACCAGCACATGTAAGAAGATCCATGATTCGCGGTTTCGGTTTTTTTTTTTTTTTTTTTTTTTTCTTTTTTTTTTTTTCTTTTTTTTTTTTCCGACGCCTTGGGAATTTTATTTATGTTTAATGATTTGTGGTTGCGTTTTCTTCTTTTTTTCTTTTTTTGTTTCCTTTTTTACTTTTTTTTTTGACAAGACGGTTAGTTGGCCCATAGGGATAAGATCCCACTGACCTGGGGCCAAGTTCCACTTGGCACTAATCTTCATTTTGGGCCGTTGATCTTCATAATCTACGGTTAGAAATGGGCACAATTCGGGAAAGTGGGACTTGGGACCAGGTTCCCTGCGATCTCCTACCACACCATGAGTAGTCGGCCGTCGACAGATGCTCAAATTTATATATAAATTAATTAATTAAAAAAAAAACTGCAATCTACTCACTGATCCTTGGAATCTACGGTCCAAAATGAACAATACAAGTTAGCAGGTCCTAGCCCAGGTTCAAACGTCATTGGGGAATTGAGGAAAGAGGCAAATCTACGTCAATAATAATAATAATAATAATAATAATAATAATAATAAAAATCTATGTTATTGGGGTAACAGAGCAACGTACAATAGATGCATGAGCCGTGATACGTTAATAGCACTTTTACGTGGGGTGTCTTCTTCTATACTGATTATTATTATTATTAACTACTGTATTATTATACGTTATATAATACTTCAGGCGCATGTTTACGTCTGGCAGTTTTTTTTTTTTTTTTTTTTTTTTTTTTTTTTTTACGCCTGGCAAGCTCACATCAAAATTATTTATTGAAAAAAAAGAAAAGGCACTTTCTTGCTGCGCCCGGGTGGGTCTTGCTCCAACTCCTCTCACCCCATGCACAAAAAAATACAAAAAAAGTATGGCGGTGTATCTTTCCATCTTCTAGCGGAAGATTCACTCTCGTTTTGCACATTTATGGTGGTGTATCTCTCCATCTTCTAGCGGAAGGTTCACTCTCGTTTTGCACATTTCGAGAATAGTGGAGCGAGGTCCTGTAACGGATGTCTCGAAGGACATGCGTGTCATCCCTGCGCTGCGCAGGGATCATGCAAACCTTCTTCGCCAGAAAACAACAACGTACGGTCATTATTCCTGTACTTAGACGGAAAGATAGCCCAAATGCAGCTGTAATGACCGTACTTCACATTCGGGTGAAGAAGCTAATCTTCTCTGTATCGTTCAAATTTTAACAGGAGTCCCGAAGGACCCATTCGTCTGTTTCCGTTTCTTCGCATATTCGTTTTTTTTTTTCTGTTTTCTGTTTTCTGTTGTTGTTTTTTCCCGCAAGTATTTCCTAGGTCGACGTTATTTCCCGCCGTAGTGACGAACTCCCGCCTTTTTTCCCCTCGTAGTGATGATCTCCCGCCTTTTTTTTACTGCGCCTAATTCCTAGGTCGACGTTGTTTCCTTCCTGTTGCAGAAGCACCTTTCATCTGTGCTTTTTTTTGCTGAGGCATTCTGAAACGATGATACTTCCCTCCTTGGCCATATTAGCGGGGCTGGGGGAGAGAGACAGAGAGAGAGAGAGAGAGAGAGAGAGAGA